GTCAGTGCCTATTCAGGGCCCGTTCAGGAAATTCCACTAAGAATTTACCTTAGTAGGACCTATCTAGGCCCAACGACGGCATGCCTTGTTAGGGGTATTTACGTCAGTGCCTATTCTGGGCCCGTTCAGGAAATTCCACTAAGAATTTACCGTAGTAGGACCTATCTAGGCCCAACGACGGCATGCCTTGTTAGGGGTATTTACGTCAGTGCCTACTCAGGGCCCGTTCAGGAAATTCCACTAAGAATTTACCTTAGTAGGATCTATCTAGGCCCAACGATGGCAGGGCTAATTTAGAGCATGCCTGTCTAGGCCCTACATTGCCTGGCCTATTTTAGGGCATGCCTGTCTAGGTCCTTTACGAACCTCGGGCACGCCCTGACAAAATGCTACCTGGGTAGTTACATTGTTAGCGAAAAACTGTAACTGTAACATAGTTACTTTTATAAAGTAACTTTCCCAACCCTGTGTAATACATATATACATGAAAAGATTTGTCTGATAATTACCTCCTTTACTATAAAGAGAGGGTTCACCGTCTTTTTTATTTTTTTGTTAGCGAGTTCTTCATGTAGCTTTACGAGAACAGAAGCTTTCGATTTTTCTGTGATAGCCTCATTGGCGCAATAATGTGCGGACAACTTCCCAATCATCGCGTTAACGTTTTCTAGCAAGGTTTCCAGCGTTATCTTTTTCAAAGTTATAAACTCGAAAATGATCTATAGAGAAAAAAATTATCCTCGTGCAATTTATTTCCGCATTTTATATGATTATTGCAAAGCATATATCTACCAAGTCATAAACTGCTAATTGTGGATACTTCGCAACTATGCTGGATATTTCTGTGGCTTCTTTTTCGATCCAAGATCGTCGAACTATAAATGTTTCGTAAAGCAGACGTCTGACATGGGGTGTATCGACGTTATTACATTTTTTATCTAATTCTTTTAGAGCTGCTTCGGTATCACTATCTGTTTGTGATCTAGGAAAGATAGAAGACCAAGGATTGCAAGAATTAATAACAGATCGCATTAGGCCTTGCATTTGCGCATAAACACCTTTATCCCCTGCCGGAAATAATTCTATAAAATTCTACAAAAAAATTAAATATAACTGCCAGAATCTAAGAAATTCTACGTAAATTTAAAAAGTGTTACAAAAATCAATATAAAAATGCTAGAATTGGAACACTTTTGTTAATTTTTATAATATTTTACAAGTAAGCAGATGTTTTAATTCTTTAAGATTTCCTTACTTTTATAAAGTAACTTTCCCAACCCTGATTATTTGCCACATAAAACTTACGCCTTTGGTTGAATTAGTACTGCATTCATTATTGCTAGGTTCTTTGGTGCTCCTGTGGCGTCTCTTTTCAAAATTTTCCTCTTTAGGTTCGCTCGTCTGTTTCTAACGCAAGTGCTGAGTTGAGTCTTCACGAGTCCCTGTGAGAGATATATACAGGGTGTACCTAAACTGGCGATAAATATTTTAATGA